ACGTGGCAGTGATTCGCCATCTCAGTGTAGTTTCTGTTCAGAAGAAGTTCCCTTCACAAGAGTTTCAAGATTGCGGCTCAGGTGGCCTTCGTGAATATCACATAAAACCAAAGCTTCATTTGAGACCAGTATGGACCATGTTCTTAAAGCTGTCAGGTTTTTTAATCATCATTATGATAGGATGCGATGCTCAACTTTCGTTATAAATAAACTGCGGAAAATATATCAAACACGCATGCGCAGACTGGTTTGTTTGAAGAACGAAGTCAGACATACATTTTATAAAGTTGTAAATGAAGTGCATAGTTTCTACGAAGCTTTACGTTTATTTTTCGGAACGACCTTTTCGTAATGCTGATATAACATTGTAAAATTACAAATAATTTACCACATACTCAAAACCAGTCAGCAATGTTTGTTTTTTTTCAAATTACCTCCGGGGTTGTAAATCAGAGCTCGCGAGTTAGGTATTTTTTTTTAGATATTCCTTACATACTTAACGTGCGAATTGTTGACGTAACTGTGTAGCATTGAAGGAAACTAAATAAAGAAGTACTGATAGAGAGGGGATGATGTTTAGTTTGATAAAATAGCAGTGGTATAAACAAAAACATAGAGGAGCTTTAAAGAGAAGTCTTTCAAGATTTTCAGTAGACGGTGATCATCTAATTTAGAAATTCGCATTGGTTTGAATTTTGGTCAGGACCAACTATGTGCTAATCCATTATATATACTTATATATACTATAACAACTATATACTATATAGTTTATGTATCTGTATCATCATTCAGAAATGGGAACAATCCAATCTAATGAACGGACGGCCCGACGGACGGACTGACCTAAAATAAACGCACTATCCCCCTGTGTGGTTATGAGACTGGAATATATTGGATTGCAGACGTTTATTGGCGGTCTAGTTCGACGTGAAAAGTGGGCGTTAATTACAGGTGAGTGCAGGTGGACACCGACACGCGCAGTAAACTGACCACAAGACGCCATGGTGACAAATTATCGCCATTGGCACATAAACTGTAACAAACAACCAGAAATACATAGACCAGTCATAAACATTGACGTATCGAGCTGGGTGATAGAAAATATCGACACGAAGTACGTAAATCCTCGCCAACTACGGCTGGCAGGACGCAAATCTTCAGTAGGCGGCCATAAACTGACCATAACTGACCACTTCTTATACAGACAATAGCACGTGGATGTTAAGAATCATTAATAATTACCACCTATAACTGACCACCTCCAACTTGACGAGGAGATAAGACTATCTCATGTTTCTCCCTATTTCATATAGTTTTGCTACAGTTTTTCTTTGATACCTGTTCAGATTCATGATTTTATCTTTATTATTTTCAATCTATTCTGATTTCTTTAAATCCCACGCATACCCAGGACAGTAGGTCGACTTGCTCAGCAGCCAAGGCAAGCCAGCCTCGTAAGTTTAAAATATGCTCATTCACGCCTGTTACAAAGGCACATTGTTACTTGGTATATCAGATTATTCAGCAAATCACGTCTACAAAATAACTCTGTAGAATATTGTTCTCACTTCCAGTTTCCTCATTGAAATTGATATAAAAGCGCGCTTCAAAGTTATCGACGACATGACGTGACCTGTTGACCCCCGGAAGACGATAGCGGTGATAACGTTCAGCGTGTAACGGAAGGCATCCCAGGGGCCGCGGGGACATGCAGAAACTCGTCCTAGCATCACCATCTCACGGATAAAATTCACAGCAGAGTTGGGATTCTAAATCAAACCTAAACAAGAGTCTGGCTTGTCGAAAGTGTAAATAAGTTTACAGGTAGACGATCTTGAATAGGTTTAAACGAGTCTAAGTGATTGCTTGTTTTATTGGATGTGATCACATCTTAGATTCTGTTTATCATAAAAACCAAATTCTGACCTTCATTGTTAATTGTGAAGCGGTGGTGTAAGCTTGTTGTGACGTAACATTGGCATGTTTTGTAGAGTTAGTGCTATGATATAAAATCTACACCATTAAATAATGGCCTCAGCTTACAGTCAACAACCACACAAACTAGGAAAACTGCAATCTAACGTTACATACATTTAATACAAATATAAACAGTGTTGATAATAATAAATGTCCAAGATATATAGAAAACCCGAAGCTAGTTTGCGTAATTATCGGCGCGGTCGTCCACTGTCCAATCAAGACACTCTTGACACGTTTTTATTTTGTGATACCGTAATCTCGGATACAACCCACGTCCGCCATTTTCTACTAATCGATAAGTAAGGCATTCTCGGGACGTTTCGGGATACCATAATCTTAGATGTACAACCGACGTCCGCCACTTTCTACTACCCGACAAGTAAGACACTCTCGGGACGTTTCGGGATACAATAATCTTAGATGTACAAGCGACGTCCGCCATTTTCTACTACCCGACAACCAAGACACTCTAGGGACGTTTCGGGATGTCGTGATCTCGGATTCACAACCGACATCCGCCATTTACATCATCCAACTACCTAGATGCCGACGTCCACCTTCAGACTGGCACGTATCAGGACGGATGCTCGTGACCGACTCGCGAGTGTTCCGAAATATGAATCCATTTCCAAGTGAGAGGGCCGCTATCCTGCTTCAAACTCAGTCGCCATACAGTGATGTACCGAAATCGTGACGTATTGTACGTACAGTCCCCTTTACCACACATCTTGTCAGGTGCCGTGACAGATTTTATTGCCGTTAGAAACAGATATAGAGCGGCCATTGAGCGTGTCTCTCGGCAGAACTTTTTTTATGATGCCCCATTTTAAACATCAAACAACAAACTCTGACTACGAAAAGTTCAGTAGTATGTTTAAGTCTAGAGACATCATCACGCCCATCTCTTCTGAACCATCCCCTCCTGACCCGGTTGATCAAAAGTTATTTAGATATAACCACTGATGATTAAAAATTACAACTGCTGCCAATGAACAAACAAGAAAATTAAAACCAAATGTCACACTCAAAATATATCAATAATACCTGTCTCAATAAATCTACATTTGTGAAATGATACAGAATTTCCCAATGTTGTATGATTAGTGTTTGAAAATATTCCTTGACCATTGGTTATCGCTAACCAGTGGTTGAACAACCGGGACCAGGTGATGTCCAGTACGGCGCCGTGCGCGTTATACTGGTGAGGTACACACCCCAAGGAGATAAATCGGTGTACCGACGACGTCCCTCTTCCGCACCCGTTTACCACACTAAAGCGCTGAAATATACCACGACGACAATTCTATCCTACCACACCGGTATTCTAACACGGTGCCAAATCTGTAGTGATCAAATGGTCCTGGTATGCCGTTCCTACACAGCGTTGTCTCGTGATACGTGGTGAGCAGTAGATCCCTTGTTCCCCTGTGTAGCCAGAATTAAGATAGATTGTGATAGATCCGCGACACTTCCTGTGAACCTTGGCGAAGTGACCTACAATCCGACACAATAAAGGTCGGATATAAATGTTGACTCATCGTGATCTTTTGTTTTTATTTCGTTGTGTAACCATAACAACATCACATTTATGAGATGCTAGGAGAGAAAAAAACCAGACTTGCTTGTAATTACTCAGTGGTCATTGACACACCAGAAGTTGTTTCATTTAGAGACCTAATTATTTTATATTTGTCTCTGGTTTTATAACAATTCCGTGATGAGATGTTCATCACTGTCTCAAAACTTTGATTGTGATGCTTTGGTTCTATGACGTCAAACGTCCTTTAGTAACAGTTCAAATCGCTTCCTCAAGGACAGCTATCAGCAGTGTAAATAGTTAACACTGAGATATCAGACAGCTTGGCAGGACCTCTCAATCTGAATTATAATTGACACTCCTTACTGAGTTGACAGTAATACCCTCCGTAATTTAGATATATTACCAAAACTACCTTTCCACTTCTCTCTCTCTCCGGTTATATTGACCATAAACAAAAAAATTAGTTCTAATTTCCTAATTCTTATTGTGTTGACCATTGTTAGTTCTGACAAAAATTAACAATTGTTTTGGATAGAGCCCATCTTGACCATCATGTTTTGCCTGAAATTACATTTATAAGAAATTTAACAAGAGGCCCAATGGGTTTGCATTGTTCACCTGGTATGCTATGTTTATCAAAACAGAATCAGTGTTAAAATCACAAATATATTGACATGTAAACCGTTGGCATTCAAAGTGGGCACATCCAATGAATTTTAACCAATTTCCACAACAAACAGCTTCTTATACTCAATTCTAAACAGTGACAGTTATAACCTGGATAATAAGTATATGCCAAATCTTTTTTTCTCAATATTTGTTGGGCTTTGATCTAGAAACACCTTTCCACTAAATATCCGTCTTTTCCGATGTTTGTTTACCAGAAGAAGTCGTTTACAGGTTATAACAAAGTTGATCTCTGGATCTTCATTATGGGTCAAGGTCATTTCCCTTCACAAATGTTATTAGGCACCAACCTAGGAACCTATCGTCAAATACCATGCTTCTGTGTCTGTATAAAGGTTTTGATTGAATTTGACCCCTGTGACCTTGAATAATGATCAAAGTCCTTCTTTTTTGCACACTTTGTTGAGCTTCATACTAGGAATCTGTTAGCCAAATATGCTTCTGCATCTATTGGTTAGTCAAAAGTTGCTTAAAGATTTTAACAAATTTGACCTGTGACCTTTAATACATGACAAGGTCATTTCCTTTTTGCAAACTTTGCCAGGCTTCATCCTAGGAACCTGTCAGCTAAATACCATGACATTTGTTCTCTGGTTATTGAAAAGAAGTGATTTAAATGTAATGTTGACCTTGGACGGACAGAGGACAGACGACTGATGCCACGCCATCACATAAGCTGACCTGGCCCTTTGGGTGAGCTAACAAAATTGGCAGAGAAAAAGGAAAAGAAATTGAGATGAAAGTTTGAGTCCTTTACTCAGGTGAGCTTATACAAAAACAACAAAGGAAGAAATTTTCATTCAATTTTGATATTTTTTATTAAGTATTTTTATTCATTTTTAAGTCATATTTATTTCATAAATGTTATATACATATATTTGTTCAATATGCTGAATAATGATGATGAATAATACATACATTGTGTGGGTAAATGTCACAGTTTTTAACACAACTTTTTTTCCTAGATTTGTTTAGACCATAAAGGCAAGCTGAAAAAACACCTGACCCAGCCATGCTGATGTTTTACACTTGACCCAGCCATGCTGATGTTTTACACTTGACCCAGCTTTGCTGATGTTTAACATCTGACCCAGCTTTGCTGTTGTTTTACACTTGACCCAGCCATGCTGATGTTTTAACACCTGACCCAGCCATGCTGATGTTTTAACACCTGACCCAGCCATGCTGATGTTTTACACTTGACCCAGCCATGCTGATGTTTTAACACCTGACCCAGCCATGCTGATGTTTTACACCTGACCCAGTCATGCTGATGTTTTAACACCTGACCCAGCCATGCTGATGTTTTAACACCTGACCCAGCCATGTTGATGTTTTACACTTGACCCAGCCATGTTGATGTTTTAACACCTGACCCAGCCATGTTGATGTTTTAACACCTGACCCAGCCATGCTGATGTTTTAACACCTGACCCAGCCATGCTGATGTTTTAACACCTGACCCAGCCATGTTGATGTTTTACAAAGTATTTATAAATCAGGAACAGGACACGTAGAAAAATAAAATTTTCGTTGTGGATGATCAATACAAATGAATGAGTAGCTATTTAAAGTTCTTAGCTATCACACAGCAGACACAAGTACTGCACCAAAGGCTTACACCTCTTGTAAAGTCCATATCTTAAATCAAAAGTGACCAGGTTATGGGATTATGGACTTCTTGGACATCAATGACAGTTCATTGATCAAGTGGCTTCATCCCAAATTACAGTATCTTAAATACTTAAACTGTTAAATAGCATTCAGTGTGAAATCCTTTCAGAAAATTATTTTGCCAATCAAAAGCTGATGTGTACAGTATAAGATTTTCATTAAGTTCTTAATTAATGACTTTCAGCAAATATTGATTCATTTTTCAAATTTCTAATTAAACTCACTAAAACTTTAACCTGGTTTTTAAAAAAAAAAATCTCTTTACACTAATCCTAAATTAAGATTTATATATATATTAACTCTTTAATTTCATTTTCACAGAACAAACAAAAAAGTTTTTAGAAAATATTTTAGGCACATATGAAGGTTTGTGATGCAGTATGTGTCAGAAGATAGATTAAAGCTCTTTACCACCACTCTCACCAATACCCTAAACAGCGATTATACTTAAAGCACCAATAACTGTAGCATTGCGCTGTTACAATTGAAGCTTATATACTGATAAAACTGAGATTTTCCCCTAAGATTGAGTACTAAAACCGAGTATTTGGTCTAGAATATATTCAATATTGGCCCTTTACAGAATGCCTGAAAATTCAGCGTAATGTCAGTAGCAGAACATGATGAGGACAAGAGCAACAATAAGTACTTGCATATGAAATGAAAGTAAGTAGATTTAACAATAAAGTTCAAATTTTTGAGATCAGTTATAATTTTCCTTTCAAAGAAATATGGCAGTGAAAAATTACTTTCAAAATTTTGTGTTGGGAAATCTCATAAAAGTGATTGATATCTACTGATAAAGATATATGAAGTAAGTAATTCTAATGCTGATTGGGATATAACATTTTAGTTTCCAAATCAGAAAAGAATACACAAGTGACCTGGCATTTTATAATATGTAATGTAAACATTCATAAAACACGGATTCCACCTGCAACCATTCACATGACATAGATTATACCTGCAAACATTCACATGACACAGATTCTACCTTCAAACAGTTATATGACAAAGATGTATGAAGCTGATGTAACAACAGGAGATATAAATAACAAACGGGATGAAAAATTTTAACCACAGATGATTTAACACAAAAATAAACAAGGAAAATGTTCAACCATTTTCACAACAATAGTATTAACTTATGATTTAAATGAATTCTCTTCACATCTTTTATTTTGTTTTAAATGCACCTGTTGATTTGTCAGGTACATCACAACAGATAATGTATATCATCATTTACAAACACTTCATATTATAATGATTCAACATAGCATACTTTGATAGATTTTCAGTATCAATTTACTCCAAATCAAAATGTTATTTTTATATTTAGATACCCATGATTGATAAATAAGCTTTAAGATGTTCAATCACATAAATTTGAAACCATTTGTAAATAAGATATACATTTACTATATATACATTAAAGATTTTGGTATTTTTACATGTATTTGGCAGTATAAACAGTATGTACACTATATACACTTTGTGGGCTGTGCCACACTGCACCATAGAAATTATATATATATAATTATATAGACAAAGTCAGTCCAGATTGTTGTAGTATCGCTGCCCACACTACATCTACAAACACTACTTTTTTTTTATTTTTATACATTCATTTTTTTTATTTATGTTCCCATGAGGATTTTTATAAAAGTGTAATTAAAATAGACTAACAAGATTTCTGTAACACAATAGCACAGTCAGTAGTATATATGTACACTCAAATTATCTATTAAGTGTTCTTAAAACTATAAAATGGTCTTGAATCTCAAAAGCTGGAAAACTTTCAGTAAAATGAATTTAGCATTCTCTTTCTGTGATAAGTACTGGTCACTGTGTTAGTGTGGTAACAGAGATCCTTTGGCCAATTCTAATTCTATCTATATGATTGTAAGCAGCGGTACCAAACACACTATCCCCTCCTTCAAATCTTTTACTAAAATGTCTCTCAGTAAATCACTCTCTGCTAAAACAGTTTTCATGAAAAAACTGGATCTAAACATTTCAGAATCACACGTTATCAAATAGATGTATCAAATTGGTTTTTTCATTTTTTGTTTTAAATTTTGATTCCTGTTATCTTTTAATAGTCTTTGGGTAACTGGATGAATAGTGGTTGTCAGATGGTTAGGATCAGAGACATATCTACACAATCATCTAAACAATCCACATCAAACCACCGTCTCATGTGTAGACAGCAATACCTATTGTCGTTTTTTTTTGTTTCACAAAATCTCATACATTCAAAGAAAACTACATTTTTAAAATTTTGAAATGGATTCAATTTCTATTTTGATAACCATGAAGAATCATCCTTTTAAAAATCAGTTTTCTTTTTGTCATCTTTGTCACATTGAAAAAACACTGCAGACAAGAACAAATCAACCAATCAAATCTAGATTCTTCCAATGAGTTAATTAATTCCAAAATGTTTGTCTTTGAGAATAATCAGATGGTGTGGATAAGGAAGCACTGGCCTGTTTTTGGACTAAAACATACAAAGTACACTGAGATCATTTAAATAATAGTAATAATATTAACAACGAAGCACCCATACAGTCACCGACTTCCTACAAAAACATTTTTGTACATTCTTTTTAAATGAACAGAAGATTTGAATACAATTTAAAATTATGCAATAAGTACTTTATCCTCTGTAGAATTGTCAGTGACTGCACAGAGCAAATGCATAGAATAGTTGTGTAAACACAGCCTAGTATATGATTGGTGGTCGGGAACACTTTAGTTAGTACCACACCATGTTCATTTGACAATGTCTGTATGATGGCCCCTCTACTTCACCATACCTTTCTATGACCAGTGTGGACTTAAGTCAATAATATAGTGTCATTATTTCCCTACCACACACTTAACACTCACTCTCTATGGTGGATTTGTCCAATGATCCCTGGTTAATCCTTGGACCAAAATTTGACCTTGACCTCCAGTTAGTTGTTGACCTTTACTAATCAGCTCTGCGAGAGCTTCCCCATGTTGAGGTACTCGATCAATTTTATCTTTAACTTAGCTGCCTTCAAGCTGTTGTTTTCATTTCATAGAAAACATGAATGTTTGATTCGATAGAAGCAGATTTGTTGAGTGGTGTTGATATGGAGAGACCCAGTTTTAATCACCATGGAGTCTGCTGGAGTAATCGCAATGATTCATTGTCTCAGAAGAGCAATTTCTGAATCAGGTTTGCAAGATGAAAAGTCCCCTGTGTTCCTAGGTTTACTTTGAAGAACCTGCTCAATCAGAAGATGTTTCTAGAATCTATAAAGAGGCTCTGTAATGATCTTCTAGCTGTTTGATTACAATTGATGGGTTGCCATCTTCAGTAAATCCATCCAATATATACATATGTACAATATGTATGTTTATTGTGCAATGTGTCTGTAGCTTCTAAGCACTTATACCACTGTCTATGGCAGTTTGTTCATTCACATTGAAGAGGGACAAAGAACATCCTTCATTTTGGAATGACGATGCACACTGTAAGGTTTAGGTCACACAGCAACCTCTGACCTTCTTCAGAATACCTGCTTCTGAAAGTACCTCCATTTGATCTCATCTTGGAATGTAAGAATCGGTTATTGTTTTTCCACATTTTAACATCACAGATGAAAAATGTCACTCTGCGTAACAGATGAACCCTACAGACTGCAATCCAGAAAACTCACAGTCAGTTTCCGGACCTGCTGGCTGGAACAGCCCAAACCATGTATGTCTGGTAACACTGGCCTTACACCTTTGTCAACCAAGAGTATATCACAGCACTTAACTTGTGCGTTTATAGAACACAACAATCACTCTATACTACACATAGGTCTTATTATCTGTAGACACCGGAACGTTCATGTTGGAAATTGGTTTAGCCGGCGCATTGCCATTGGGTAAATTTGATCCTTTAGGTAAGTTCACAACTAAATTTAATTGTTTATTTGAATTGTTTATATCGGAATGGTTCACATATCTTGGTTCTTTATTTGAGTCTTGTGACAATGTCCGTTGGTGATTTTTATGTAAAGAACCGTAAATGTCATGTTTTTCTGTGAGAAACGCATCATCATTGTCGTCGTTGGTGTGAGTACAGGAACGCACTTTGTAGCCTGCCACAAAACTTAATATGGAGGATATTACAATAGCAACCACAATAGCAATTGCTGTTTCTGCTACACTTAATGATGATGGCTCTGCTTCCTCCAATCTCTCGCCAACAACTGCAAAAAAAAGGACAATGTTAGAAATCCTGTTCAGATACAATATATAATGAAGGTCTAACAATAGAAGACTGCTGATACAGTCATTTACATCAGATAATGTTCAAGTTTATCATGATTGTGAGGAATAAAAACTATTTAATAATAGCTTAAAAGTGATAGCAGTAGACTAAAGTAACACCAAGGTCAGGTTCATGAGGCACTGTCATCCACTGGTTAAGTCATGCTGTTATCCATCTTATATACACGCCTACACGACCTTCACATGACCTTGACCTGTGAGTAATTAATACCTGGCAATCATGCTGCCATGCAGCCATTGATTTCTAGTCACATGCATTAACTAATTTGTTAAGTCTTTTCTGATTGTGTTAATTACATGTCATTCATTTTATTTAGTCTTTTAACAGGCAGTGAAACCATGATGTTCACAATGGCTCTTCACAAAGTCAGCACGTTTACAACAGCTATAGAACTGAACCAAAAAGGTAATGCAAAATAATAAAATTACCAAAAATTAAAATGAAGGACAAACTAATATCTAAATAAATAATAATAGAAGAAGTAAAAACATTTCAAGGCATACAAAGTAATCAAAAATAATTAATTGAAAATCTAATTGAATTAGTAAGCCATACAAGAAACAAAAAGCCATAAAGTGGAGTGTGTTTAACATGATTATGTTGGGATGATACGACCAGTTGACATCTGAGGCGACACAAGGCTAGGCAGGGCATGAATAATTCAGGCCAAGTGATTGATGGGTCCTTATATACAAGATGCAGAGTAAGTTGTGACGATAAACCCATCAAACATTACAGAACTCTTACAAGGCATATCACGCCAAAGTTACCACAACAACGAGTTCGGGGACATTATGAATTAACGAGAGATGAAAATGAACACATCATAAAATAAATGTGATGAAGAAATATTAAAATGGAGTAGTAATGATATAGGCCTACTTTGAGGAGGCATTAAAACAGATGACTACGATGACAAGGCAAATAATAAGATGGGTCAAAGGTTGCCTGGTACAACATTTCCAGTTATAGTAGTATTGAATGATGACAAAGACACATTTGTAAGTGTTGAATAATGTAAAGTTAATGTAGCAGCCTGAACCAGACAATTAAGGTGACATACTGGTGAAAAATAGGACAGCAAATATGGCATGGTGAAACAGTAACTAACTAGTTATATATTATATGATACGACAGCAAACAGCGGGTGGTGTTAGTGTAACTAGGCAACGTGATATAGCAGAATACATGGTAAAGCAGGATTAACATGAAGTATGGGTATTAGTGGCGCCCATTACGGGTGGCAGTGGTTATACGGTGACCAATCACCAAGGAACAAGTCCGTCACCAAGGAACAAGCTGCTGAGGCTATGTGACACACGATATTAGCCATTGTGATATACAGACAGGCTTTCACTGCCTTACCAACTGAGCTTTCATCCATCAGCTTGGGTGCAAACGCATTCTCATCAGGTTTCTCGGTCATGCCAGCTTGTGGCATTTTTGTGACTGTATTGTTCGTCACTCCTGTGAAAAATTACAGCCTATCAGACAACGGTTGAAGAGGGGGAAATAAGTTTTATAAATATTAAAATAAATCAATAGAAAAAATTTGGTTGATTCACTAGCTTTGAAAATAAATTTAACTGATTAACAAAAAATTAAAAATTTACTATGGTATTACATAATGAGGAAAACTAATCAACCAAATTAATGAAGTTATATTCCAGAAATCAATTAACCAAATATCTTTGAACACTTGGCTGAGATTGCAGTGCCTCAACTAACCAAAGTTGCTACGAGAATGAGGATTGGGGATGTTGTTGCTAGGGACTCCACAGCTACAGTTGCATTTTGGGCTGGATGTTGACATGACAACAGTTGTTGGCTCCGGTGTCACTTTCTTTGTAGTTGTTTCTATAGAAATTACCAATGATATAAATAACTGTGCACATGTATATCCTAGGAATGGCTATCGGGTGACAGTGAAACGTGAAATATAATAAAATAATATGTCCCTTTTACCAATCTTAATTACAAGCCAATTTAGAAACAGGGAACGTCAGTGAACTCAGGGTGAAACAATAATATTAAACTGAAAATATATTCATGCATGTTAAGATAAACAGGACAGAGAAATAATCAACGAAAAATAAGCATATACAACATCAATAGTGTATATGTGTAAAGTTGGTAAAAAAACCTACCTAATGGGGCTCCACACGCTGGTAGTTTGCCTTCAACAATATTCTGTAATCTGTAAAGAAATGAAAGAATTTATTTTTCATTTAATTTTGATTAATTTTTTGCCATATATAAATAACAAATTTCTTAAAATTGGGAAGACATAATTCTGAAGTTTAAGGAAATAAAAGCTAACTGAAAATATCTGTTTAATTTTTCATTTCCATGAAAATGGTTTAAGAATATTGTAATATCTATATATGATTGTACAATCTAAATTCCTGATGAACAGGAGACAAATAAGATGTACAATTACTTAATTTGTGAATCAAGACAAGCAATACAATAGACAGAGAATGAAAGACTTTACATACCCTCGATCCGAGGCCGCACATGTAGTGCCCACAAAGGAGCAATAGGGATCTTGTAGTGCAACACACTCACTGTAAAATATAAATCAATAACCATATTATAAAGATTTAAAAACAAAGATGTAATGGAACAACATTATAGACATAAAATAAGGAAACATTTACATATCAACATAACCCTACATATAATTAAATCTAATTTCCCTTGACCTAATTTGTATTTAAATATAAAGCCGGTGTTAATGGTTGGTTATATTAGGATAAGCAGAAATAATCACTTAATATTTAAGACTATTTTTATCATCTTTTCTAATTTCAGTAATTTTCTTATCCTTTAATCTTCTTTCATGCCTATTTTTGTAAATCTGTACACTGATCAAATGAACACTGGCTCCAGTAGGACTTATAAGTTACCCGACAACTCCAAATTAAAATTTGACGTCAGGTATGTATCTCTGTTGATATAAGAGCGATCTATAGCCTCTTCAAATGGAAATTGTATGGTGTACATTCTGCTTTGTCACCGTGTGTGAGGAGGTATTTCTAAAGAAGTTCAGTGAAGTGGAAAGTTAGGTTAGGGATACTGGGTAGATAAGCCACTGTGTGTTGATCACCTTACAGTGACAATCCATCGTCATTGTGTGTGTGATGGGGAGATACAATAGGGCAGACCTATATAAACCTTACCAGTCCTACATTAACTTAATCATGGGTCCATAAGGCTATACTTAGTTTCAATTAAAGGAAACAACTTTCATCATAACATAAGTATGAACATAAATCTCACCTATATATGTTTTTTTTCCCTCAAGATATTTCTAAAAACCTTTGAGTGAAATTTCTAAAATTAAAATTTTACTCTAAAAGAAAAATCTTTCTTTGAACCTTTTCAATACTATATTTTCTAAAGTATCAAATACAACATTCTACTACTAATACAAACAATGCCAAGAACTTTTCCCTCAAGATTGAGATTTCTTTTTTTACCTGCAGGTAAGAGCTCGTTCACAGCGATGAAGAGGGATTGACATTATATTCTCTCTAGACATCACTATAAGTTTGTCTAGTCCATGTTGTTTATCGTGGAAGATTTTGATGTCAGTGATTGGCTGTTTGTCCTCAAACACTTGAATATCCTCCAGAATCACGGATTCTATCTCTTTAGTGTGTCCTTTGTTTATGGCCTTCAACACTCTCCCGTCCTCTGTAGAACAAATCGTTACAGATTAACTTGATAACTATTACGCCCTGTACCTGGTATATGTTACCAACACTCTCCGCAAACATCTACGCCATCTTAAATACTCAATGTGCATCTATAGTTGGTGCAACTGAGTGTACAATTATCACCCAAAAAAGTAAAACTACAAGGAGTAAATTTCTTTTCAAAAGAGCATTTAAAAAGAGGCAATCATGTTTTTAGGAGGTCATAAGCTATTTTAAAAGGTTTTAACGTCAGGAATTGTTAGTTTGAGACTTCTTTGTCACTCCCAACTCTTTTCTGTGGATTTTCAGACAATACACATTGTTTGTTGAAGTTAAATATATAGAACTCATCATGTCATAGTATACAGGTAATGGGTTGAAAATCTTTTTTCTTTATTATAAAGAATGTGTTTCTTCCTATCAGTTCATGCATTCTATAACTGTTTTTGTAAGTGATTTTACCTGTGCCGACAAACATGATGTCGTAGTAACGGTTATCAGCAGCATGGACTTGCCAATCGATGGCGATTTTTGTGAATCTAGACCTGGAAATAAAACGAGGATACATTAGGCTGCCTCAATCTCTAATCTCCTATATAGCATGCTATGATGAATTTGTTAAGCAGAGGAAAATTCCATTTACGTAACTCTCTACAACTGAATAATCTCCAGATTCTAGAGCTGCCATCGGCAAATCAATGAATAAATGTCAAACACTCTTGGCTTAACACTACTGCTCCCTCAACAAGCATAAATAAATAAATGCCAACAAAGCGAAGCAATTTTCAGATGTAGAGTTACTTCAACATATGTGAGAGATGTAAAAAGTACAGGAAATTAGAGGGCATAAGGATCAGTACAAATACTGTGTTGAAGTGGGAGCTGAAAGTGAGGGTCAATGCTTAATGATATCTTTTGTACAAGTCTCTTGGTTATTTACATCTTTACTATATCATACAGCAGAAGTTCTTGTAATCTTACTTTAGACTGAGTTTCATCAGCAGGGGAGCGCCTCCAAATGATGGAACAGCACTGTCCATCAAGGTGTGGGATTTGACAAAGTTCATAGTATCATCGCCAAGGTCAAGGCTGTTTTCAGAACAGGACTCAGGATGGGGTTTAGGAACATCCTCATCCGGGACAGGTAACCACTCATGTCCAAAATTTTCTTGGCCTTTAAATTTGCCCTTGAAAACATTGACAATGTCATCATATCTGAAAGCACACACTGCTGATCCACGTACACTGTTTTCAGGAGTGGTAAAAATAGCATAAAACATTTGTTGTCTGTCTTTACTTAAGTCTGTTGAGCGATAGTTCCCCTGGAAAAAGTTGGATGTCGATTCTGAAATGAGATAAAATAATAGTCCCTTTATAAATTGGAATTAATTTATGGAAGTGTTTTCTTTAATATAAGTTTACACAATATTCCAAAAGTCTCAATGAATGAAAAAATGCATCAAGTGAATTTTCCACTTACGAATTTCATTGAAGTAGAAAGGGAATTCCCCAGGTATGGAACAGTTCAGACGTGCTTTGAAGAATGAGGTCCATGTGTTATCCAGCACCATGTTACCTCCCTTGTCGTTCTTGCATACTCGCGCTATGCGTGAAAATACAGCCTACAAAAGAAAACGGAGGTCATTATATGGGGACAGTAAGTGTGGGGCAGAGTATGGAGATACATCAGCAGAATCACAATGGAGAATGTATGTTGTTCCAATGTAACTAGACTCAGAGTTACCACATAAGAATGAACCTTGATCAGTTCCACATGTCTACCTCTCAAGTTATAACTATAATCCAGATCACTAAGGAACCGGTTATACTTGGTGATAATGAGTATTTACCCAATATTTTTCTTGTATTACCAGGAGGGAAAGCTGGTCATTAGAAAACTAATAGTATGTTTGCATCACTTTTTAACCACAGGAATATTTGTGTTAATAATTATATCTCATCTGTTTCTCCCCTGTATTTAGACCTCTCCCAGGGAGCTGTCATTATTTAGCTCTCAAGAAAATCCATTATCTGTGACTTCAATACCTATATTTACAAAGAAAACCAAACGGTCAGCTATGGTATTAGTCATGTGCTTTCAGTTCCAATCTTTTGTCATCTTTAAGGCATGTGTGAATACTTAGAGAGTTAGCCCATTTCACCTGTTTGTGAATGCACATTGCCTTAGATCTGTTGCATGTTGTACTGTGATGCAGACACAACAATGAAATCAGGACAATGAGATGGGAACATGTGAAGGTAACACAGTAATCAGAACACCATTATAACTGATGACAGCACCGTAATGATCAGTTTGGATGGTAGATGATTAATGGAGTAGACCTGGTGTTTGAAGACCGTGGATATCTTTGTATCATAACTTACATCAGGAAGTCCCTGGTAACACCGATATATTTGTGCACTGTTATTTATAGTACATGCATAATCAGCAACTAGCTGTGGCTGCCAATTTCACTGTACAAATATTAGGATACCTGACTAGTTAATTAAGTATCTAGTACTGGTAAAAATACAATCTGATGTCACCAGACAGTCTCAGTGGGGGGTGTACCCTCTTCCCCTAACTTTTCTTGCTTCTGTGGTATCATCACATACCCCCCCAACCCCCATTTTCCCCCTCCTTCTATCCTGTTACAACTACTTCTATACTGTTCTAAGTCTTAGTCATAAGAGGAACTTCTCTCTAACTTGTCAAATTTTCGGGGTTTTTTTATCCTGTTAATTTGTCAAGGATTAGATTATGAAAATCAGAAAATGCTGATATGGCTTTTAAAGGATATAAAATTAAAATTAAATTGAATTAAAATTAAAGTGAATTACAATGAGAGAAGTAATAAATACAGTGTAACTCAAGTGTGAAAATTGAAATCTTGAAATCTTTAAAATACTTTAATCAGTTATTTGATCCCAACTCTGTAACAGAGATCTTGACAGACAGGAAATTCCACAAATATATATGTATTTTGTGTATAAAGCATTGTCACCGTCCCGATCAGAGGGTTGACAGCGGGCCCTTAACACTGGACGCACCAACAAACACACACACGATAACGTCTAGGTTTTCAAACTCCTTCAAATTTGTATGATACAATTCTTCTTCACATGAATTTGATCCTACTGGTGCAGTGGGCATAGAGATATTGGTATTTTAAATATTCCACCTGTGTCCCCTTCAGATTAAACCTGTCTCACCTATGTCAGCTGTTGTGATCACCTCTATTTTAACCTGTGTTCTTATGTTATCATTACCTTGCCACAATTGATATTTTCCACTGCTGTCTCCCGGAAGAAGAAATAAATCTTATCTTCAATATCAAATGAAGCAACAAAGTTTGGATCTGTAAAGAAAACAGTAGATGTTATTGAAAAATTGCTTTTTCCAAAGATACAAAATTCCATATTGCTATAATATCATTGCAGAAAAGTTTGCAAAAATGACAGAAAATATATTGAGGAAGTAGGTAAAGTTTAATATATAAGCATACCATTGAGCCATCTTGAGTCATGTGATCGTGTTCGGATCATCTGCCCATTCAGAATAAGTGGGTTCTGTTCTGCTATGTCAGTCACTGTTGCTCCAAATAACCTTCCATCTGTTGATTAAAAACATGTGAAATTACACTTAACAATGCCTTCCCAAGTGTTAATCTAATACAACAGATTTAAAAAAAGGATGTTGTTTGTATTCATTACAGAGCAGAAAAGCCTGCAGTTAAAACATTTCAGTATGATAATTGTGATGTTTTGAAGCTATAAAATTGTTTCTTTGCATTTTTGGTCTGATGGAGCTGGTAATAAACAAACTGACATAATCTTGAAGTGAACACTTCAAAAAAATGATCCTCAAAATAGTTTTGGACAATTGCTTGTTAAAGTGCACATGTAAGTGATCGTAAGTGTTGGCAGTGACAGATGTGGCAGCTTATGTGTGGTCTCATACAGACCCAGTAACCATCACTGACCTGTAATGTATCCATAGTAACCAAACACTCACCAATAAAAAACAGCTATTATCTCATTCCACATCACTTTGGATACTTTTATATCCATGTCATGTTCCGTACAGTTAAACAATGGCTAAGATGCTGACCTTTAATCTTTGACCTGATGATTCAGTAATCTGAGGCGATCAGATGCTTGAAGTAACATATCCCAACTAACATTTCTCCTTATGATTCTTTTTTACTTTCACTTTCTAAATTTAAGTGTCATTACCATGGTTTATGGGCAAATAAAAAGTCCAATTTCACAACAGATGATATAAGACTTACCAGCATATACAAATGAACTGTTATGGTTGGGGTTGTATGGACATTTTCCTACTCCGCTCTCTTCCTCAATCTGGGTATAGCCAATAGAATCCTGTAAACAAAAGTAACACTTTAAAACAATGACCTTGATGCTATATTGTAAAACAATGACCTTGATGCTAAAAACCATGACCTTGAAGCTATATTGTAAAAATGGTATACCATACATAAAAACAATCTACACAAAAGAAGAATTATCTTGGGAGGCAAAAGAAAATATCAAAGAGAATTATTTTTCTTGCAACCATAGATTTTGTGCTGACTTTATTCCATACAGTAATGATCATTTCAAACAAGAAGATATATATAAATATGAATAGCTAGACAACAGCTATTTGGCATGTAAAATCAAACAGCTCATTGAATCAGGCCTGAAACACCATAAAGATTTTTTATACTATTTCCTACCAATTTACAACAAGTTTCTTTTGTAGAGAGAAGATATGTTTTGAGTTCTGTGTTGGTATAGTATTATACTTTACCCCCCCCCCCCCCCCCCCCCCTACCCCTTCCTCCTCCGGGCATATTCCCATTAAGAAGTGTATAAAATTTGAAGTTGTAAGCCGAGTCACTAACCCCTTAGCCGTAAATATCCAAACATAGGGATTACAATGATCCCAGTAAACCACCCGCCTGTTACATTAATCCGTTTTCATTCTACCAGAACAAAACACAGGCCATTGTTATCCACATTTAATACACTGACATTGTGCCAAGAAAGTGGTTAATGCTGTCTGCCGACATCAGGAGAGGGGAAAGAGTGGGAGGAAAGGGAGGTAACACCAAAGGGGGAATCAATCATTCTAAGTTGTATCTAACCCGTTACCAATAAATTTGGCCACATGAGAGGTACACAAGTCTGTGTCTACAATTAGTGTACCAGTCATATAGCTGGCCTGTTGTCTATCTAAAACAAATCACCAGGCAACACACCCTTGCTGAAAAACAGGGCAACACATCTTCACATCAATATTTCTTCTTACGTCAGAAATTCCATCAATAAGGAAGAAACATGCTTCTAACTAATTAAAAATAATGTTATGTTTTTCAACTATAAACAACCAGATTAGCTGTTCTCTTGAGCCATATCTTTCTAGGAAAACAATATGAAATCTAATAAAAACAAAGCAGTTTCTCCTGCGTCATTGAAAAGGACGAGAAGTGAACAACAAGTAGTGGTTGTAAAAGATATGGATTCTTTCAGTCGTGGAATACAAGCATGGGGCTTCATTCATAATACATATGTCTGCTGTACAAATTGAATCTGTCAGACTTTAAAACTATTCCAACCTCCCATTGATGCTCCGTTAATCTTCTCCTATTCAAACAGCAAATTGTCCCTAATTTTCTGTTACCGTGCCCGATATGCTAGCTCTATTATTTAACATAATGTACTGCCACGCTTCATTATGTGTTTTGAGAAGCCCTGCAAATTATTTAAGATAATTCCTGACGCTGCAGTGTCTCTAAGAGTGGCAGCTCCTACACCCAGTTCTTCTAGACTAACATTATTACACTGACGATACTGTGTATAACATACTCCAATATATGTAATGGGAATCGACCAATAATCATTAATTAAAATCCATAACTCATTGGATTGTCTTGAAAACATGATTTTAGTAATCTTGATTATCAGTATACTAATTTTCTTATCTTTCAATTGTCAGCATTTATTTTTCATTATCCTACCGTAAAACTGCTCCTAGTCTTGTGACCAGCGAATAAAGCCGGGCTAGGAGCTACCACACGATACAGATAGTACAATATTTACAGTAGATTGGCTGTTTTATGACAGCATGTGTAGATGTATATGTATATTTGTTGTCTCCTGGGGCCATGTAGGCAAATGTAGGGTTATACTAGTAGGCCTTCTACAGGTAACATGGAGCCACGCTGGTAAACACACTTCTCTTTTGACACATATTATTATCGTCATAAAGGTGCTACTATTGTCTGCCGTTATAGCCAATCCACTCCTGCAAACCAACCCAGTTTTATCATCCCAGTTATCCCTAATTCCGTCAACCTCCTTACATTGTAGTTATCCATACTCTACTCCTGTCAATTCCTTTATACCAATAGAGTTGTCTCCCCCCCATTCCCCTTGAAACCAACCTCTTTCATATTCATAATATTCAGCAGTATTAGGACGACCGCCCACTACAGATGCTTGATACATAAATAAAGGAACATCTGATACAAACAATTAATAACACAGTAGCTCAGAATAACCTTTGTATATATATACCTACTGACCATTAACTAATGTTCTGTCTGACCAGTGATTAGATAACTAACGACTGCTGTGTAATCTGGTGATGATAGTTATAGCTGGAGGGTTACACACTAATTGTAACACATCAGGTCAGTGGTGTATGTTTTCCCCAGTCAGTGGAGGTGGCTGCCAGCCAATGAATCTACACAAATTCCCAACTACTCTACCAATCCTTCCCATGTCTCTCCAACTATGATTACTGTAGGTGTCGCGGTCAGACTCAGCCAGATGATACAGGAATGAACCTTATAATCTTCCATCAGAGACAATCCCATTTCAGCCTTTGAGATTAAGATGAATAAATTGGTTTTTCCTGATAACTTACCGTGCTTTTCCGGTAACTTCTGCACTTGGGTTTAAAAGCATTTGTTCCACAAACAAGCAGGTCTCCAGAATCCTTTTTCCCAAGAACTTGGATAAAATTTTGGCATTCCTCCTGAAAAAACAAAATATATATATATAAATATAAGTCAAGCAATACAAAGAGTTAGTTCATTTTATGTTCACATTGTATTGTGATATAGCAAGCAGCTGGTGGATATATTGAACAATGACATCTTCATACAACAGCTGGGGAAAAATGAAGCGGAAAGTTTAACCTATTAATCTAGAAACTGAATTGTAAGATAATATCATATCTTACTCTATAATCTGAAGGAGAGAGAAGTGCATTCTGTAAACATTGAGTCCTTATATCTAGCTCTACTATACAGTTCAGACATTGTACCCTGCCATATAATTTGTTGATAGCATTATGTAAAGAGATATCCTTTGAAATAACTGGTGCCTTTATGTTGATAAAATGGGTTGGTAAGCGTGGTGATATTACAAGGCTGCGGGGAGGGAACAGAATACAGATCTGTAACAACAAAGACTGGTGATGTGCATGTCATTCCGCACGTCAGGTAGACCTGGGGGACGAGACCCGCATACTCAGGTATACTGGTGTCTTTGCTAGCTATACTCACACACACATAGTGTGTGACTACCCTAAATTTCCTGTAGGTTACAGAGCTCCACATCAGGGCCCATGTGTGTTCTACATCATCTAGAATTCTAAAGGTATCATAAATGTCCTGCCATATTCTCTATAATTTCTTGAATGTAAAACATTTAAAGGATACACACTAAGTGTCTCCTATCAGAATATGAATCTTTTCAATGCTCCAATTATTTTGTTTATCGTGGTTTTTTTCACAGCGTGTGTTCGGTGACACACTATGAACACTCCAGTAACACAATAGATAGGAAAAGCACATAAATTTCCACAATATTTTAGGATTCATATGAACCTCACCAGCACAACAATTATGAGAGATATAATGTGTTTCTCTAGGGCCCATTAAAAAGGGGTAATTTTTCAACCTTGTCAAGTCTGTCTATGGTTGACAAAGCCTTGAATTCCCTCCACTACATTACCGCACACACATAGCACTTGAGCACGTATAGTGTCCCTTGCAAGTATATTATTACACTCAGCCTGTGTTAAAGTTTTGCTATCACTAACCCAAAGATAGTTATGATATTCGCTATCAATGTAATACATATAGTGTAGTATAGTGTATCTAACTGATTAAAATTGAATAATTTCATTTTTAAATTGTTCAGTTTAAAGAAAGTCATACTGTTTTAAATGCCTTTACACTGGTTCATGTAAAGATCAAAATCTGATAAGACAAAAACTGTGATTGCACTGCCAACTGCTTTGGCTGATGAAGCTGGTTTATATTTGTACGTACACACGAGCAGACCCTGACAGGTCGTAAAAAAACTCAGATAGATACCAGGCATCAGAAACAATAGACCTGGCAGACGTCACAGGGAAGTCGGCCATTGTTCCTCTGTCAGTAAATGTATACAATTCCCGGGTCTGGTGGGGAAAATCAGCAGGGGGGGAAAGGAGAGGAGAGCGAAGGGGGAGGGTCCAGGGACACAATCAAGTCCATACAGGCGGAACATTCAGACGCGGTCCAAAACAAAAGTAATCTCTTTGTACAGCCAACATGTTGGCTGTTTTAGATCATATCATCACACTTTAATCTGGTGTTTAACACTACCAGTAAGTTATACATTGTTAATGTTAAGAAATATGATTAACAAAAACAGTTCAGAAAGATTGGGCTGCAGACCAGTGTATCAAATCTCAAATTAAAAGTTTTTTGTTTGCATGTTTTCAAAACATTGCTTAATTAATAAGGGTGCAAAAAGTTAGGCGAGGTCTGTTTGGCTTGACATTGACACTTCATATAAAACTGGTAAATAGAATTCCAGATCTACAAAACATGCTTGTCCTGCATGTCGGGCGTAGACCAAAAAGGCAGGGAAATTACAGAAACTACGGGAAAGCATGCATGACAGCCATTGGTAGCTTTCCTTTATGTGGTTAGACTGCCCTAGGAGGGTTCTTCCTACATGGCACATGTTTATACATAAGTAACCTGACATTAGTTTCCAAAATAAAGTGCTACAGACAAGTGGCCAAGACAGTTGTCACTGGCACACGTCTGTCTCACCGCACAAGTCTCGTCTACTTAAGTATGCAACATCCTCAACGAAATTACATTATATTATTTTTGCTATCTTATATTAATATCACCTTATTTAGAATCTTTTTCTCATTCTTCCTCACACACTTCTCAATAATACTGTTCTTTTATCTATCTCTCCTTCCAATGTTGACTCCATCCTATCGGTTCCCCTGCCTACATGTATTTATGTTTTGATGGCTGACATTTAAACAAGTGAGCCTCCAAAATCTGGAGTCTTGATTGAAATCTTGAGATAGGAACATCATCTGATAGGACCAACTAAGTAAACTCCATCAGGTTTGATAACTCAAGTCTACTGCCACTTAAAGGAGATTTTTTTTTAAGAAGTCAGTCTTTGATTGACCCCTGACAGTTGTACTGATAGCAGCTTTTGTATAAAAGCGTAAACACAAACACGGCATGAATCTGCCTAATTCAACAAAGTTCTGTTTGTACAGAGTTCTAAATTTTTTTCCTTTGAAAATTGGGACATATTAAAAAAATGTAAAATTTAAATTGTGAAGCCAGCTATGAAAGCCCCACCTCAGATAAATTTTGCGCCAAACTGCATTAAAACATAAGGTGATTTTGTAATGCTAATACTAAATAGAATGACGCGAGCACAGTACATGACAACAAGGCCTGTGTTCCCTATGATTGTCTAGATAAAAGTACAGTTACGGCTGAGCTTTGTACCTAACAAACAGACCACCCTGATAAGTCTCGCCTTCTCACTGATACTGATCGATAGATTTATACATATTTACCTCTCACTATTGGTTTTTTTTTTAAATGAAAATCACTTAATCAACAATTTTTGTATCATTGATCTGAAAATAAGTTCATAATCTAAAAGGATACATAAATATTTTAGGTGAATTTTTACACCTTAAACATCAAAGAATTGTTTCATTTCTAACAAATCTATGATCAGACTGAGCTTTCCAACACATATTAGTTTATTACATGTAGATATTGTCATAACAACAATTGATCCAACTATTTAGCGGTTTACCCAATATGATTGAGGTTTTACTGCGGGCTGGTGAGGAGCAGTGGGTGACTGTAGTTATACAGGAAGACAGGCTCAGCATACCTATACCTTGTACAATGGCCAGCATTTACTTCCGACTTTTAATGGTACAATTTGAAACAGGAGCTTGTGTACCAGCTTTTGAAGTACTCATGTACAAAGCGATTACCAGGATATTGAGCTCATTACCTTGTTTTTGATCAAGTCATGGCTTTGTTCTATTCCAACAATGAAATGTGCTAATTGAAGATCGCCATCATCGGAACCTCTACAAACTTATATTCACACAAATTCATGACTCGTAACACCTTTACACTCAGAGTTTCCTTTCACGTTCTAATTAAGTTTTCACCTGCACTCTGTAAACCAATAACTACAGGTTGTATTTGTACAGGGAGAGCTATATACCCTCGTATATTTGTTACAGATAACTGGTCAAAGGTTCAGTGTCCTACACACATTGATTGAAACATCATTACTTTTAGGGAACCCAGATGTCATTCTCTACATATACAGCATCATTTCCATTTTCAAATCAAACCAAACTCTACAATATTGTGTATCCAGCGTTTGTGTCAGAAGGAATTAGGATGCCAATTTTGTTAACCAGTAGCAGAAAATTAGCCTGCCATCATCACTCTGGGTCCTACATTACAACTGGGTTTGTTAATAAAGTGCAAGCCTTTCCTGTGAAGACTCTATAATGTTGATCATCAGGACATGCTTGTCCTTGCTAAACGTACCAGACTGTAATATTACTTTGATGACGTTTTCTCCATCAGCAGGTTTGGCTCGGTCAATACCGAAATTGGTTTGTACATCAGACCTTTTATATTGAAAATGGCAGCAAATTCCTGAAGACCAACGTGTGGATGTTAGCATCACATGATTATCAAACGTAGTAGTCGATGAAGGACTCTGTGTAGAGAAGTGAATGAGGAAATGGACCTCCGCGATTGTTCTGACATAAAATGTGGAATCTGTTGACAGACTGATTGATCTGTTGGCTCGTTTCACCTGCTGACAATTAGCCAAGACTTTAATAATGAATTGTTTTATCAGTTGTTTGTGGTCAGACTACAGCTGTTGACTGGCAGCTGACCGTTTGCCAGACCATGTCAACAGTTCTTTAAACAACAGGGCTAATTTTGGTCTTGCACAACAGGAGGAGAAATTCCTGTGAATTGAACATATGACCAGGGCACAAGTCACTGACTGTGACAGCATGGTCTTTCTCCCAACAGTGGGTCTGTATCTATACAGTTAAGGTAGAAATCACCTGGAAACTTCAAATACCTGAATGCAATAATGATGGAGAAAATGAGAAACAAACATTTTTCAGTTTCATTAAAGCTGACAATATTTTTATTGGTTTCTCTAAGGTCAAGATTTTTCGAATTATGGGCGACGGTGCCATGGAACTGACAGAGATTGAGTTACAGGAAAGACAATCAGTGTTTAGGTTTGGTACCTGGGCCAAATCCCTGTCACCTGGGTGAACAATAGGCAGGTCTCGGCGCAGGTGCTTGTCCTAAGTGTCTGGTTACAGTATAAAACCAGTACCAGTAAAACAATCGTGCCTGCCTTCAGCGACCTAATGACTAGTGTAATCAATGTGCATGTCTTATGGTCATTTAGCCAGCCTTGAGTGATCCAAGCTCACCTGTAGGGGAAATGGATACCCATGTATGCAAGATGCCAAGTCTTGTGACCCAGTCTATATGGGTCAGATTGAAAGGTTTTTTACCCTGGCTGAGCTTCCTATACTAATCACAATATACAGGTAACTGTGACCAATTTCTGTTGAGGTGAGGGTAGTTTTGGAGTACTGACATATTATAGGAATGAGTTAGATGTGTAGGAGGTAGGCATACATGTGTCCATGAATCACACAAGCTCAGAGAGTGAACGTGCAATAATGGCACATGCTCAAACTACGTCAAATCCGGGACAGTTATCATAGAATGTACCTTGTGACCTAACCCAAACAATAACCTGCTGCTTCCCAATGTCACTCTTTGGCACAGATAGGAGAGTATCTTCCAAACATGTGCCAGTGATGTGTGAATCACACAGGATATTTACTTACCTCTGATTTCTGTTTCTTCTTGCAGACATCCATATCAAATGGTCTAGGTGACCATTCAATCCTCTGTAATATACAACAATAGGTATTTACTTGTCATACCAGTGAAATCAATCCATCATTTCACTGGTTTAAACCTTAACCTGTATATAAACAGCTACCAATTTGAGTTATCTTGTCATTTCATCATGACTTGGGACTTAAGCAAGTCTTCAGAAACTTCAGAGTTATTCATATTATGTTTATTATGATATATTGCACTTCACACTATGTTTATTTTTCTATTTCATTTCAATATATATTAGATAACATACATAATGATTTATACATACCTCTAAACTTTCCTCTAAATTTACCATGCTGATATTGTGTAAAGCATTCCTGTAAATAACAAAAAGAAAAATAAACAGAATATTTAAACTGTTATGTAACAAATTCAATTAGAGAGAAAAGTTGGCAAGCACTTCAGTGACAGCAGATTAAGTGTGGACCATTGAGGTAAAATGAATAAAAGCCTGACAAATTGTCCAAACCAATTACTGGTCCATATATCCTAATCACAGATTTATTGGATGCTTGTTGGCACATTGTATGTAATCTGTATACAAACAGGCTGCATGTGACCTTATCATGGCCAACACGGACCATTCAGGTCTGTATAGAGAAACCCCTAGTTCAGATTCTAGTCAAATGGAGGATTGTGAGCCCCCTTATCAATACAAACACAGGCTGTGTGACCCCCTGATCCCACAAACAAACATGTCTGCCAAACACTGGCACACTTGTCTTACACATTTGAAGAAGTTGACCTGTTACTAGGGACTTTTAAGTACCCTGCCTTATCACCTGGATTTTTCTCTATCTTACACACATTTTCTGGTGTTGGAGCTACAGTCTGACGGGACTAAACAGGGAAACAGATGGAGCCATTCAAACCAACATAACTTCTCTCAACAATATAAATTGTCATATCACAAATGTCCCAAGCATTGGCATCCTCAAAGGTATACATCAAGTTCTAAAACGTCCTCACAGCTTCAACAATACACTGATCTTACATGACCTCTAAATGTTAGAGGTCAACATACACACAAAAACATTCAAATATAGAATGGCAAGTATTTTGACATTTGAAAATGTTAAATGACGCTCTGAACATCTGAATGTATAGAAATACATGTCATGAGTTAAAAAAAGAGAATGGTTTATGAATGTAATTATATTAAGGTATTGTGAAAGTTTGTCCAATAATAAACTCTCCCCCACAGCGATTTTTTTTATTAACATTATTTATTATAAAAAAAATTGTAAAACAAATTACATGAAATTTATCCCTTTCCACAATATCTGCTTATGTATTGAATCTTGTTGCATCTCTTTCTACTGATGGATATCAATTTGATGGAGTCTTACCTTGCTCCAACTAGCATTGACATTGACCCTTGGTCCGTGTACAAAAGTTTGAAGTAGTCAGAATGGGTACTGACACCAGAATATGACTGTCTTCCTGGCACATCTGCAAAATACAAGAGACAATATTAATGTTTAAAGTGGAAATATTCATAATCAGGAAAAGATAACCCAATAAGAAGGACTGACAATTAATAACCAGGAAAAGACAACTCATTATAAAGGATAGGCAATTCATAATCAGGAAATATACCCCTTCAAATTGATAATAATCACAGAAGATTACGGATACAACCTCACAGATAAGATAGATGGATTAATTTTATAGTGTTTTTTTGTATTGAGAAAGCTATCACTCAATATTCTGGTTAATATTTGATGGCAATTTCTAAGCTTCACTGTTTACTCCAAGTGTACAGCTATATTTTATCAGGAGTCTTTCTGAATCATTAATGACAGAATTGATGTTATGAGGCAATGTTATAAAGAAGAAGCCCCAGCTCCCTAGGGACTTCTAAACCCTCTGTCAGTGATGTACTGAATGACTGATGTCCCAAGTACACACCAGGTATGCATATCATTAATGCTGGGAGAAACCCTAGAAACTTTCAGTTACTGTCAGTTCCGTGATTGATATAAGTAAGGATAACCTTAGGACTGTTGCCACACCAGTGAGATATATTTACTGATTATGTGCTGTGAGACTAAATTAGCCATGTTTTTCTTTCCCATCCTTTTCTAAGAATAAACATGCTGTATTTGATGTTTCGTTTCTTCTTGTCCAACTTTGTTCCAACCGTTAAATGTGTGGTGTAGGTTTGTAAAAAAGGTCACCTCATATATTCCAAACTTCAAAATTTGTTTCAATCTCGAGTCTTTGAGCAATTTTTAATTGAATTTATTTCAAAAAATAATTTCCTGATCAGAAAGAGTAATTATGTCTTTCCAGGTAAAGGTATTAATGAGACCATCCCGTAAATACTTTGCGGTATTAAACTAGACATGTCAGCAGGTTAAGACTACTGCGTTGTAGAGAATATCACACTAAATGTGAAGTGCTTTTTACGCCGTATATCTCTACTTCTTCACACACTCCTTTAAGTGACAGATCTCAGGTTACCTCATACTTCAGGTCACAATTAGCATATTTTAAAAAAAAGTTTGGTTGTAAGTAGTGTCAAATGTTCTATAATTCTGAAGTAAAATTTCAGATTAGTATTTCTATAAAACGTACAGATTTAAACCAACTTATCAGTGAAAATTTACATATAAGAAAAGCCCAGAACCACCTTATCCGGTTAATACTCCTAAATGGAACACATGTGTTGCTCCTCAACAAATTAATTGTAAAATTTGTCAGAGCAGATATAATTTGTGGTAATATCAAACAAAGTTTAGGAAGAACAGACATGATAAGCAAAAGGCAGAGATTCTAGTTAGGGGCCCTTAACATTCATCTGTATGTCAGACGCTTTTAGTTTTTATGACCTTTGACCTGAACTGGCACTCTGCCAGGTCAGAATGCTTCTGCCTGAGCTAGTGAGAGTGAACCTCCTGTAACACTGAGAGGCAAGCAGGAGCTGCTGAATAATTCATATTACTTCTATAATAGAACTAAGATGCATAAAATCAACTTTGAAACTTCATTCAAAACAGATGTGAAGATTTTTGTTCATTTGAATAATTTGAAAAGGTTGAGGTTTGAAATTAAATGGAGATTTTTAATAAATGCTGGCAAAGCCACCCTATAAAATAAAATTATAAAATGTGAACAGAATAAATATAATTCTTATGGAAATACTTCTTATATCAGGGTTTATTTCTGATCCCATACATATGGCTTATAACTGAAATTATACCATATTACCAGTCATCTTGTATACTCTTAGCAGTGTGTTCAATCTGTTGTAAATGAAAACTTTGGTATAGAATTTCTCAATCTTCTTGATTACACGTTAAGTCTTCATTTAAGATTAGTATTAGATAGAAATAAATTATAATTTCTTTAAATACCCTATTAATTTAAACAGACTACCCAGGTAGATCACCGAGGAGTTATCTGTAACAACTAATCAAACCACCATATGTTGACGTCAATATTTGAAAGCTAATCACGATACTATAACACGGCCTACGCCCATCTGATAAACCCTTAATTGAAGGATATTTAAAATGCATCATGATATTCCAATCAATTTGTTTTGTGATTATGTAAAGCTGTTGTGTTGATATCTGTCTACAAGACTCTCAGCCTACACCATGACACAAAAAAAACCCTCAAAATACTACAGTCTCCATTTGGTCTATTTAACAAATTAATCAGATTGTGAAACATTTGGTATTGTTTGAGTTAATTTAAGTTGCAATTAATAAAAATTTAATATGGTGATGAACATATAATAATGTATCACTGCTTTGGACTACAAAGCAACGTGGAGGGTAGGGGGTAGTTTGTGTGTCAGGATCAAATTAAAATTTGGCGGCCTACTTCAAAGTATAATATAATTACTACACAATTAATTGTCTGACATATCATGAAGGAGGACATCTACTATATTCAATAATAAAAGTCATACCCTATAAAAAGTTTGACAAACTCTATAACAGTGTATGTCTAAGTGAACTAGGACTCGTCCCACGACTTATCTCATATAAATCGCTGACCCTGTCCAAAAATATGATAGCAATATTGTATGCTCTTGTGTATATATCACAACTCCATGGCCATTGGAAATACGATACACACTGTCACATTTAATACAATATAAAAACTTCTTCATATTTACAATCGTAGATTTATTTTTCCTCTTGATACCCATCTGCCTATACAAAAGTTTGTATGAAGATTTGGCAAAGATCCTACCAGAACAAGAATGGGTGACGTGGGTTTTTGTACGACAAGTCTTGATATTTTGCCAATCTCTTACAACATTACCAATGTGTCACCAAGTTTTGTAACAGACAACAAGTCGTAATACAAAAAATATTCTGTAATGTTTCACAAAACATTGTAATAAGCAACACCTTGTGATGTAAAAAACATTTCTCTATATCCATCCATCACTTTCCCACAGGCCTATACACTTTAACTCGACCATGGATTGTAAATCAATGTTATTTTTTTCACAGATGACGTCACCACTATTTGTCAGTGTTTAAGTTAGATAACTTGTCAGATATAACCTCAAATTTTATACCTATGTTTCTTTCATGGAACAATATGTTGAGGTAAATTAATTATTTTGCTGGCTTTCATTTTTCATGGTAACAATTTATTTGTATCTAACATGCTTTCCTACTTTAGGCCTATAATATATGTTCAAGTGTCTTCACCTAAAGTGACCAATAACTCTAAGTGTTGAAATCTCACTTTGTGACCTGTAACTTTAGCTGTTACAACAGAGACAAATGACTGTCTCTAAAGATAAAATCCTACTATAATGATTTTCATACCACATAACCACACAACACCAGTATTCAACACCAAAATATTTTCTCGCCTCGAATATACTTCTCAACATTTCTAAATCACTCTAGTTTGTAGTGTACTCTGAATGGTTTATCAAACACAAGATCACCCAGACGTAATCCAAACCCTAAAATAGTCCTTGGAAAAAAATATAGTAACGAAGCAAACATGTAATACCAGTTTCATATAGCAGAACAGAAGACAAATATTGACAAAAACTCTGCTTGATATTTGTTTATTGAGGTCAAACTTCATTTCTGTGACGTCAGCATCACCCGTCCCAACCCTAAGTAAACACTTCACATCCAAAATGTGCTGTTCAATCAATCAATTTCTTTTTTTCTTTATTGTTTGTAAAATTTAAATTTAATGTATGTGTATTTTATTTGTATGTATTATTTATCACTGCTAACAATTATCATCAACTGTATGATAATTAGAAGTTGTCACCAATGTAGGACATTTAATTAATGTAGACTTGAGTTAAAACTATACTATAATAATCTTAGTCGTATTAAGGCTTATCCCGATGTAGTCATTGGTGCTGCCATTCAAACATTTCCATAACCTAACAGATTTGAATGAAGGTTGCAGGCCTCTAAATCTCTTGTCAACTTTCCAATGCAATTAAGTATTGTTTTTTAAACTAGGTACTAGGTAATATTGGAGATTAGTTTGTGATTAAGATGTGATCAAGGCTTTAATCTTCGTACTGGCTTAATGTATTTGGATCAGAATATTAGAAAACACTTCTAACACTGCTTATCCTTCAGAGACTGATTTCTATACAGAACAACTGTTCTCCCCCAGGTAAACAAATGTTTAAAGCATACACTCTTCCTGGCTTTGCATTGCTAATCCTTTTTACGTATACAGGATGTTGTTTGGACACGAAAACTCAATCTGACGCACAGCAAAACAGTAAACACAATTTATACAGAACCAATTTATGCCAAATATCAAACCAATTTGATATTATAATAACAGACTCCTGGCACTTCTCCATTCATGTTGGCAAGAAACAACACCTACTGAATCTAAATCATGACCCAAAAGTTACTCCACGAGTGCCTACCTTTCCTTTACCTGTAATGATCCCTATCTTGTTTGAAACGCTGGTTTCGGCCTTTAACTCCCCTGCCCCTGATGCCTATCATTAACAATCAATTCATCATATTTCCTCAGACAACAATCGAACAATCAAGATTATTGGTCAGGTTAAAAAAAGAACTAGACTGGGTCATGCCAACATGTTGACCATCCAGTGTTAGACATTTGTCTGCGACTTGAATGGGCATCACTTGTACAGTCCAGTCAGCTCCTTTGTAACTCGCTTTGATGTCCGATAAAACACACTTCATGTACTTTTAACCCCGACTCTAGCTACATACACGAAAAGTCAAGAGGGTAAATCACAGAAGATAGCAAGTACATCTACATCAGCGGCAGTAAAACAAAATGGCCGACATCTTATCTTTTTTTTCTGCCAATATCAATCAGGTTTCGGTACTTAATACTGTTTTTCTTATTATTATTACAAGTATTCTCATGTGCAGGTGTGGAATGACAGGTGATATTCAGAATCATCAAAAATCTTGTAGGTAGCAGAGTGTGGTATGTATCCCTTCCTAACATTC